CCAGGTAGTCTCAAACTCCTGGGCTCAAGTGATCCATGCACCAGGGCTTCCCACAGTGCTGAGATTACAAGTGTAAGCCACTGCTCTTGGCCTATATTTGAAATTTTGATTGTTGAGATTTCTTAAATCTTCGAAAATCTATGTATATTGTTTGTTCATTTAGGATTTGTTGAACCCTACTATGGCAGACATTATTCTAGTTGCGGGAAATACAGCTGGGGATGGGCAAGGCAAAGGTCCCTGTTCTTACGGAGCTAGCACTGAGGTGAGATTCCAGAATATTTAGAATGTGATTGACTTTCCAACATGAGAGACATAATGGCTAGTTTATGATATAAATAGTTACACATGGATTCCAAAAACTTATACTTATTGTCAGCTTAAGTCAGATAGCATAGACCTTAACAGCTCTTAAGTTTCTTTACTGTTAGTTTATAGCAAGATTCTCTTTGTGTTTAATATAACTAACCTTTCAAAATAAGTCCTATGCATTACTTCTATAACAAATGAGTTATTATTATTATTTTGTTGTTGACTTTAGGTTAATAGGTTTTATTATGTTAAAGACAGCTTTATTTCAAGTCTCAAAACAGATTGGAAAATTTTTAACAGAAATCTCATTCACATGTTTTGATTTATCAAAGCATTTTATGTTTACTTAAAAAAATTCTTTCTGTTCCCTAGAGAAGCCCGTAATGTACTCAGTACAAATTGAACATCAGAAATATAATGTAGTCAAATGACAGAATAAAATTCAAGAGAAACTGCTGAAGCTTTGCTCTTTGAAAGAAAAATCTGTGTTTCTGTGTTACGTTGTGTGTATATATTATGGAAATATCTGAAAGATACACAGCACCCATGCACAAAAATATTGTTTATGAAGAAGTATATATAATGCAGTTTATTGAAAAAGATTTCAATTTAAAGTAATAGTGCATGAAATAAGCATAGTGTGGCATGTTGCAAAGTGGTCTGAATCGCAAGTCCCAAGAATTAGGATCTAATCTTGATGGTGCTTAAAAAATTACACAATATAAATATTTACATAGCATTTTATGGCATAAAAAGCTTTTTTTTTAAAATTTTTTTTAAATTTAACAATAGCTAGCATTTACTGAGCACTTACCATGTACCAGACATGGTGATGTTATTAATTCCTACAACGCCTCTATGAGGTAAGTGTCTACTCCCTCTTCAACACTCCACTCCCCAACCCCACCCTCCCTGACCGCCCCCCCGAGGAAATCAGGACGCCCCCTCATCCCAAACAGGGATACTGAACAGTGCCACTGTCTGCCACCTGTACATTGTTCCCTCCTTCCAGGACTCAGTTCTGGTATACAGTGCTGACTAGTTGGTGGATAGTGAAGGCCACCTAGGTACACAGCCATATTATTAATTATTATTATTATTTACATTAACACTTTTTTTTTTTTTT